TTTTTTTTTTTGGGACGAATCCCAAACCGGCGCCCTCGCCTGAGACATCCTCACAAAACGGGCCCCGGGGGGGATGCCCAGAGGAGCCCAGAGCGACCTCCGGCACCGTTTCCGGACGGATCCGCTGGATCCGCTGGATCCGCTGGATCCGGTGACGAATCCCAAACCGGCGCCCTCGCTTGAGACATCCTCACAAAAACCGGCCCCGGGGGAGGTGCCCAGAGGAGCCCAGAGCGGCCTCCGGCACCGTTTACGGACAGATCCGGTGGATCCGCTGGATCCGCTGGATCCGGTGACGAATCCCAAACCGGCGCCCTCGCTTGAGACATCCTCACAAAACCGGCCCCGGGGGAGGTGCCCAGAGGAGCCCAGAGCGGCCTCCGGCACCGTTTCCGGACAGATCCGCTGGATCCGCTGGATCCGCTGGATCCGGTGACGAATCCCAAACCGTCGCCCTCGCTTGAGACATCCTCACAAAACCGGCCCCGGGGGAGGTGCCCAGAGGAGCCCAGAGCGGCATCCGGCACCGTTTCCGGACAGATCCGGACAGATCCGGTGGATCCGCGCCCCGGGGGAGGTGCCCAGAGGAGGAATGAGGAGGAGGAGGAGCAGGAGGAGGAGGAGGAGGAGGAAGAGGAGGAGGAGGAGGAGGAGGAGGAGGAGGAGGAGGAGGAGGAGGAGGAGAAGATGATGGAGCTGCGGGGTGGAGGAGGACAGACGGAGGCAAGAGAAGGAGGGAGGAGGAGGAGGAGGAGGAGGAGGAGGAGGAGGAGGAGGAGGAACCTCATCACCCTCGCCAACAAGCGCACGCACCTTCTTCTATATACAGAAACTCCCGATCAACCGCAGAGCGGCCGGCTAGGACTCCTTCCGAAGCCTTGGCCAGAGCGCACGCCGAGACAGGTCTGCACGGTGACGTTTGCAGCACCCCTCGGAATATCCCCCGGATATCCTCGGCGGATGTTCCGTGAGGAAGATGGGGCATTCTCAGACGGCTCCCAGCGCGAATCGTGATGTGACTAGGGTGTGGGTGTGAGACAACGGGAGTCAATCAGAGACAACGGGAGACAACGTCGCGGGCCCGACTGCGAGTTTTGCAGCGCACCTTCCCGCTTCTGAGAGGAAGCCCTTCTACAGAGAAGCAGTTTCGGGGAACATCGGACTGTCGGATATCACGGGGGGGAGGAGGGGCCATTCCCTGAAAGCGCCAGCGCGAATCCTGATGTGAGCGGGTGGGTCGTCCCCCATAATGGTTACCTCGAATCCGCGAAAAGTGTTTTCTCTGCCTCGTCCCCCGTTTCGGGGGCGGCGATCCGGGAGGCGATGTCCAGGGGGGATGGATACCATGGCGGGGACACGATATCACCCAGATCTCACGGCCCCCTCTTCTTTTGCCCATACGTCTATTGAACCGCCCCACCCCCCCTTTGGCCGCGCACGCGCCTTGGGCCACCCCCGCGGACCCTGGAAACCAAGGGCTCCCTCGAGGGCGCGAAGTTATTCGCGCTTCGCGCTTCGCGGTCCTCGTTCCTTCTCCCCCTCCTCCTCGTCCTCCTATTCTCCCTTTGGGGGGGCGGCGCGAGAGCGCGAAGTTATTCGCGCTTCGCGCTTCGCGCAGCGCGAAGCGCGAAGTTGGGAGCCCTAGTGGAAACCCCCGTGTCCGACGCCCCCCGCTTGGACGCCCGTCCCCGCGGCCTCTCCGTGGCCCGCCCGCCTCCCGGCCGATTCGGCACCCTCTCGGCCCGTCCACCCTGCCCGGCGAACCCTCCAGGCCGTCCCGTCGTCGTCGTCGTCGTCGTCGTCGTCGTCGTCGTGGTCGTCGGTGTCGTCGTCGTCGTCGTCGTCGTCATCGTCGTGGTCGTTGTGATCGTCGTCGTCGTCTTCGTCGTCGTCCGTCGTTCGTCCGCAGTCTCGTGGAATGCTCCTCTCTAGAGAATTATGACCGTCAAATCTCCGGAAGCGGTTCCGGGCGCTCTCGCCTCGACGCCGGCGACAGTCTCTCTGAAAACGAGGTCCCCGCTCGAGCGTTGGCTTGAGTGTAAAGAGGGGCCCTCGGAGGCACGGCTATTCAGCGCCCCGAATCATCAGGGATAACTCGGGTCAGGGATAACTCGGGTTCGTTTTTCGGGAATCCAAACCCGAGTTACCCCGGACCCGAGTTACCCCGGATAACTCGGGCGTCCAGCGCCCCGAATCATCAGGGATAACTCGGGTCAGGGCTAACTCGGGTTCCTTTTCCGGGAATCCAAACCCGAGTTACCCCGGACCCGAGTTACCCCGGATAATTCGGGCGTTCGAAGCTATTCCGACATAACTCCTCACAATTTAAACCCCGAACCACACCCATTGTTTTTTTTTTGGCCAGGAGAGGCCTCCGAACTCAGGAACGGCGCTACTCGCTCGAGGCTTCCTCGCAATTTCAAGCGAGTTGGCCCCAGCACGACGACAAAGGGATCCTTTTTTTTTTTTTTTTTTTTTTTTTTTTTTTCTTTTTTATTTTTTTGTGTTTTTTTTTTTTTTTTTTCTTCTTTCGTTTTTTTTCTATTTTCCTGTTTTTTTTTTTTTTTTTTTCCTTTCTCTTTTTATTCTTTCCTTTTTTTTTTTTTTTTTTCTTTTTTTTTCCGGTTTCTCTCCTGCTTGATGCTTCCTCCCGATTTACTTCGAGAGCCCCTGGCAAGGAAGGCCCCCGAACTCAGGAACGGCGCTCTCGCTCGAGACTTTCTCATGATTCAGTCAAATTGGTGGAGGCCCAACTTCGACGACAAGGGCTCCCGTTCGCTACCGTTCGATACTTCCTCAAGATGCACTCGCGGAGGCCCTTGCCAGAGAGGCCCCCGAACTCAAGAGTGGCGCTCTCGCTCGAGATTTTCTCGTAACTCAGGCAAGTTGGTGGAGGCCCAGACTCGGCGACACGGGCTCCCGCTCGATGTTTCTCAATATGTATTCCGAAAGCCCCTGGCCTGGCCAGAGAGGCAGGCCCAGACTCGGCGACACGGGCTCCCGCTCGATATTTCTCAATCTGTATTCCGAGAGCCCCTGGCCTGGCCAGAGAGGCCCACTCAGGAGCGGCGCTCTCGCTCGAGAGTGCGCACTTCAGTCAGTGGCCGACACGGAAGAGATTCCCCCCGAACGGTGGTGCGATCGAAGATGAAGTGGGCGGATACTCCAGATTTCGTAATAAAAGGGAGGGGGGTCTCATTTCGGGGGGGGTCTCTTCCAGGCCATCTCGGAGGGCCTGGGGGGGTCTGGGGACGACGTTTTGGAGGGTTCTCCCACGGGGGGGGGTCTGAAATGGCTCGTCTGGGAGGGTCCAGACCCCCTCCCTTTTTTTACGAAATCTGGAGTATTCCCCCCGAACGGTGGTGCGATCGAAGATGAAGTGGGCGGGTATCGAGGGTTGTGGTATACAGAATTGCAAAACACGCGTGCCAGAAATAACAAGCAGTCTTAAAATGATCGTCGTCGTCGTTGTCGGCGTCGCCACCGTCGTCGTTGTCGTCGTCGTCGTTCGTCGTCCGTCGTCCGTGTACCGTTCGTGTATTGTCGGCCCGTCCGCCTTGCCCGGCGAACCCTCCAGGCCGTTCCGTCTTCGTCGTCGTCGTTGTCGTCGTCGTGGTCGTGTTCATGGTCGTTGTCGTCGTCGTCGTGGTCGTCGTCATCGTCGTCGTCATCGTCGTGGTCGTTGTGATCGTCGTCGTCGTCTTCTGTCGTCTGTCGTTCGTCCTCATTCTCGTGGTCGTCGCCGTTGTCGTCGTCGTCGTCACCGCCACCGCCGTCTTCACCGTCGTCGCCGTCGTGGTCGTCGTTCCTCGTCGCCGTCGTCGCCGCCGTCGTGGTCGTCGTCGTCGCCGTCGTCGTCGTCGTCGCCGCGGTCGTCGTTTGCCGGCGCCAGAAGGAGGGGGGATCCGTCGGCTCTCCACCCTCCGAAGCGCGAGCGGCAGGGTGGACGGGGCTGTCCCCAGCTTGTCGCTCCATCTCGGAGCACCCGCGGGCCTCGCGAGATGGCGTGCTCTGGAGACCGCCTGGGCCCCCCCCAGACGTCCTGGGGACTCAACTTGGGCCAGGGACGCCTCCCCAGACCCCCGACGTCATGATTTTTTCATGACGCGACCCCCAGAGGTCCGGACCCATCCCCCGGGACCGGTTTTTCGTCCTGAGCTGTTTTTTGACGGTCCCGAGGGCCGGTATAAGGGCCCCCAGAGGCGGAAAATATAGAAAAACCTCCCGTCGTGATGTTTCATGACTCGAGGGGGTCTGGATCTGGGAAGGCCCGACCCTCGGGGCCGCGGCCTCTTTGGGGGCCCTCGCAGGGCCCGGGGCTCTGGCCCCAGGCGTCCGCTGCCTCGACCTCCCCACCGCGGGGCCCCGGGGCCGGCTCTCCGGCCCGAGCCGCTCCTCGAGAGGAGGAGGAGGAGGAGGAGGAGGAGGAGGAGGAGGAGGAGGAGGACCCAGACCTCGGGCGTCTCGAAAAAATAGAGACAAAGGTTTTTCGTCGTTTTCGGCCTCTGGAAGCCCTCGCCGGGCCTCGGGACCGTCAAAAAACGACTCGGGATGAAAAATGGGTCCCGGGGAAGTGGTCGGGAGGTTGGGGGCCCGTGTCTCGAAAAAATCGAGACGTCGGATGTCTGGGGAGGGAAGAGGAGGGAGGAGGGAGGAGGAGGGGGCCACATGCGAACCCTACCCCTACCCCCCCACGATTTCTGAGGGGGAGGGTGGGGTTCACTTCGCTCGGGAGCTCCCGAGCGAAGAAGTGAACCCCACCCCACCCCTCAGAAATCGTGGGGGGGTAGGGGTAGGGTTCGCATGTGGCCCCCTATATGCCCACCCCTCAGAAATCGTGGGGGGGTAGGGGTAGGGTTCGCGTGTGGCCCCCCATGGCGAGGGCTCCGGCGAGGGCGAGCGTGGCGAGCACGCAACAGCCAAAGCGCGTCGAGCCTCTCCCAGAGCCGGAGGCCCACAGGGGGCCCTCGTCGGGCCCGGGGCAGCGGCCTGCCCCGCAGGCGCCCGCAGCGAGGGGCGAGGCCGCGGAGCCGGCGCCGCCGGCCAGCGCGCCCGGCCGCGCCGGCGGCGGCTACTTCACGGGCGACGACCCCGCCCCCGAGGCCGCGGCCGGGCCGCGGCCGCGCGCGGGCCCCAGACCTCGGGCGTCTCGAAAAAATCGAGACAAAGGTTTTTCCTCGTTTCCGGCCTCTGGAGGCCCTCGCCGGGCCTCGGGACCGTTAAAAAACGACTCGGGATGAAAAACCGGTCCCGGGGAAGTGGTCGGGAGGTTGGGGGCCCGTGTCTCGAAAAAATCGAGACGTCGGATGTCTGGGGCCCCCAGACCCCCGACGTCATGATTTTTCATGACGCGACCCCCAGAGGTCCGGACCTATTCGCCGGGACCGGTTTTTTATCCTGGGTTGTTTTTTGACGGTCCCGAGGGCCGGTAAGGGCCCCCAGAGGCGGAAAATATAGAAAAACCTTCCGTCGTGATGTTTTCATGACTCGAGGGGGTCTGGGCCCGAGCGAAAGCCCCCGCGTCTCCCCCAGCCCGTCGCCCCTCTCCCTCCCCTCCTGCCCCGGCACCGCTCGGACGTGTGCATTTCTTTTCGCGGCGAGAACCATCGAGGGCCATCCTGGACCATCGAGCAACAAAAAGCACGCACGAAGCCGAAAAATGCACGGGAAATGGGCATCCGAGCGACGGCAAGCTCCCCTCCTGCGGTCCTGGCGACTTCATTCGCTCGAGCCGGGCGTCGTCGCCCGGTTCCGGGCCACGGGAGCCTCACAGGGCGATCCGGCGCGACAAAGGGCACAGAGAGGGGGGGGTCTGATAGGGCTCTGGTCGTGATTGCTCGCGAGGTTTCCATTCTTTTTCGCGACGTCGGATCGCAGGGCTCCCCCTCCGGTGCCCTCCCCCCTCCCTGCCTCCCGTGCCCTCTCCTCTCGGGAGCGGCAAAGAGGGGGGCGATGACTAGGGGGGGGTGGATATCATGGCGGGGGCCATGATATTTCTCAGATTTCATGGCGCCTCTTCTTGTTTCATTACGTCCCTGGCCCCCCCGCTGGGCCGCGCACATGCCGCCGGTCATGATTTGCACCCCCCCCTCTTGGACACCCCCCTCTTGGCCGCCCCCGATCCTCCCCGCCATGCCTCTCCCTCTCCCTCCCCCGGCCACCGGGGGGGGGATGCCGCCTCCCCGCGTCGTTAATCTTCCACGTCGGCCCCCGGGGGCCATTCCTGGGCCCCGGGGGCCACCAGAAAGGGGCCATGGGGCGCCAGAGCACGCCTGGGGCAGGAGTCGAGACCCCTTCCCAGACATGATGGCGTCGTAAAAAAATCAGGACGGGCGGTTTTTGGGTATTTTCGCCCTCTAGAGGTCCTCGCCGGGCCTCGGGACCGTCAAAAAACGACTCAGGACGAAAAACCGGTCCCGGGGAAAGGGTCGGGACTTGCGGGGACGCCGTCCTGAAAAAAACAGGACTTCGCATGTCTGGGTTGGGGGCCGCGGATGGTCCGACTGGTGCCTCGGATGCCCGGGGGGACGCCGAGAGCAGGAGCAGCTCGGGTTCGGCAGGGGGCCTCTGCTTCTTATTCAGGAGGGAAAAAAACACACAGACACAATGAATCGTCGACTCCCCCGAAAATATGGGAAAATATGGGAATTGGGCGGGAAGGCAAAAATCACGAAAATATAGGAAAATATGGGGGTTTATGTTATTTGTGTGTATTTATTTGTGTGTCCCAGGGCCCCTTCACTTATGGATTTCCACGGGGCTCGCCGCGCATCGAGGCGCAGCCGGGGGCCACAAAAGAGGGGCGCCGCTCCTCCCTCGCCGCTCCTCGCGGCAGCAGCTTCACAGCCCCCCCCCCGGGGGGGGCCCGTCGGCTTCGGCTTGGGCGTTGCGTAATGGGGGGGTCATAAATGGGGGGTTGGTGAGGGTGGTCCGAAAAGGTACCCAAACGGTACCTAAACGAGCCCCCTGGGGGTCCAGAGGGGCCCGAAAGGGGCACGAAAGGGGACCTTTTCTGACCCCCCCATTTGTGACCCCCCCATGAAGCCACGCCCAATCGGCCCGCCTCTCGAGAGACCATCGACCTGACGGGTTCCTCGGGGCACGGATGGGGGGGGTCCAAAAGCCCAGACCTCGGGCGTCTCGAAAAAATCGAGACAAAGGTTTTTCGTCGTTTCCGGCCCCTGGAGGCCCTCGCCGGGCCTCGGGACCGTTAAAAAACGACTCGGGATGAAAAACCGGTCCCGGGGAAGTGGTCGGGAGGTTGGGGGCCCGTGTCTCGAAAAAATCGAGACGTCGGATGTCTGGGAAAGGGGGGGGTGTTGGATACCGTGGGCAGGGCTCCGAGGTCTCTCCCTGGATGTCACGGCCCCCCCTTCTCCTCCTCTCTTGGCACGTTCCCTGCCCCGCCCCCCCGCCCCGCCCGCCCCCCCTTCCCTCCCCCTTGGTGGGGGGAGCGAACGGTGACATAAACATGAAAACTCGGAGGTCCGCGCGGATTTCTCGGATCGGCGCTGGAACCCCCCTCCCTGGCGCGCGGAGCGCGCCAGGGGCGGCGCCGGAGGCGCCGCCAGGGGGCTCCAGCGCCGATCCGAGAAATCCGCGCGGACCTCCGAGCTTTCATGTTTATGTCATCGCTCGCTCCCCTACGTGGCCCGCCCACGTGCCTCGGGCCATGACTTGGCGACCCCCCCCGTCTCTGGCACCCGCCGATCTGTCCAACTTTTTCCGTCCGCGGCCCCGGAGAGACGGTAGAGGAAAAAAAATTAGTAAACACCCCCCTCTGCCCCCCAAACTCAAAGTTGGGCCGACGCATCAGACCCACCGCCAACTTTGACGGTTGGGGGGAGGGGGAGGCGTTGACAGATGAATGTGGCACGAGTGTTCGCTGTTCTTTTCCGAGGCCTGGATCTCGACCCCTTCCTCTTTCAGGAGCGAAAGAAGGACGTACATGTGCATGAGTCCACGCTGGTTTCGAGAGCACGCATTGCACAAATGTCTGTACAACGCGGCCAGTCTCGCGAATCGAGGGGCCGTGGTCATGTACATAGCTGGGCGCGTACGCCCTTTGGGGGCTCCCTCCTTTTGGGGGGCAGCCAGCCGCCCTGGCTCCCCGCCCCAGGCCCGTCGAGCGGGCCCAGGAGGAGGAGGAGGAGGAGGAGGAGGAGGAGGAGGAGGAGGAGGAGGAGGAGGAAGAGGAGGAGGAGCAGGAGGAGGAGGAGCAGGAGGAGGAGGAGGAGGAGGAGGAGGAGGAGGAGGGAAGAGGAGGGAGGAGGAGGGAGGAGGAGGAGAGAGGAGGAGGAGGAGGAGGAGGAGAGGAGGAGAGGAGGAGCAGCAGGAGGAGGAGGAGCAGGAGGAGGAGGAGCAGGAGGAGGAGGAGGAGGAGGAGGAGGAGGAGGAGGAGGGAGGAGGAGGGAGGAGGAGGGAGGAGGAGGAGGAGGAGGGAGGAGGAGGAGGAGGAGGAGGAGGAGGAGGAGGAGGGGGAGGAGGGAGGAGGGGGAGGAGGAGGGGCAGGAGGAGGAGGAGGCGGAGGAGGAGGCCTCGAGGAGGAGCGCGGGGCCTCGGCCCCTCCCTTCCTGGGGGGGCAGCTCGTCGGCCTGGCTGCCTGCCCCGGGCCCCGTCGGCGGGCCCAGGCAGAGGCGACTGCGAAGGGTCGGGCAGTGCCAAGGGGGGTCACCACTGGGGGCGTCGCCAGCTTCTCCTGGAAGTCGAGGCTCCAGGATGGAGAGTCGAGGGGTCGAGGATGTTCTGGGACGTTTCTTTGCGTTTTCGGGGCTCTGGGGGGCCCAGTTCCTCGAGGAAGTCTCGAGGAAGTGGCGTTTCCTCGAGGAAGTGGCGACCCCCCTGGTGGTGACCCCCCTTTGCACTGCCCCAAAGGGTGAGGTTACGCCGGGGTGTGGTTTGCGATCGGCGCCGTGGGGACCTGGGGGGCACGACGCCGTCCTCGTCGGGCCTCCTCGGGGCACGGCGGAGAGCTCAGTCGGGGTCCCCGCCCGCCCCCCCAGGGTGCCCCCCAGGGCGCCAGTTGCAAACCACACCCTTTGCAGACCACACCCTTCGGAGGCCGACAGGCAGAGGCCGAGGCCTCGAGGAGGAGGAACGGAGGAGGAGGAGGAGGAGGAGGAGGAGGAGGAGGAGGAGGAGGAGGAGGAGGAGAGGGAGGAGGAGGAGGAGGAGGAGGAGAGGGAGGAGGAGGGGGGAGGAGGAGGAGGAGAGGGAGGAGAGGAGGAGGAGAGGGAGGAGGAGAGGAGGAGGAGGAGGAGGAGGAGGAGGAGGAGGAATGGACGCCCCCCGCCCACGACGACGACGAGGGCCGGCCGAGGGACGGCCGAGGGCCGACGAGGGCCGGGGGGCGGACCGCCGAGGGCAGCGCCAGGCGCCCTCGCGAGAGGGAGCGCCCGGGCTCTCCCGGCGGGGGCCGGCGGGCGGGGTTTTCGCGCCGACGTCAACGGCACCGCAACGGGTACTTACTAACGGGTACTTTGCAATTTTGCCGAAAGTTGCCATTTTAGGGCCTCTTTCTGGCAAGGCAGCGTTGCCAGCATCGGGAAGGGTTGGGTTCGCTGGGTCACTGGCCAAAGTACCCGTCAGTGGAGTCCCCGTTTGAGGGGCGCTGACGACGGCCGCTTTCCCTCCTGCCCAGACCCAGACATCGGGCGTCTCGAACAAATCGAGACCAAGGTTTTTCCTCGTTTTCGGCCTCTGGAGGCCCTCGCCGGGCCTCGGGGCCGTCAACAAAACGACTCGGGATGAAAAACCGGTCCCGGGGAAGTGGTCGGGAGGTTGGGGGCCCGTGTCTCGAAAAAATCGAGACGTCGGATGTCTGGGGACCCCCTCGAGTCAACTCGCGTCGGTCACGCGCAGGGCGAGCGACGGCGAGCTCTCTGGCATCCGCCGATCTGATTTTTCCTATCCGCAGCACGGACGGTTGTCTTCTAAATGGGCCCTGTCCCGCAATGGGGATGTATTATTGTAGGGACGTGTGACGAGCGAACCTGGAGGGAGATGTTATTGCACCATCGGTGATGCGTCTTGGGTTTCCACTTGTACTCCTCTTCCTCCTCCTCCTCCTCCTCCTCCTCCTCCTCCTCCTCCTCCTCCTCCTCGTGGTGCAACAGCGCCGTGGTCCAGACGCGTCGGAATTTCCGAGCCCTGGACGTCCTCCGCAGCCTCCTTGTTGATCAACCTTCTCTCCAAAAATGCGCAGACGAGCATTTGCAGGACAAGTGTAACATTTCAGCTCGTTGTGAACGAGACGAGCGTCTTCGAATAGCTGGTGCACCACCCGCCGTTTTCGGGAACCCACGAAACGGTGCCGCTGGTGCCAGTTTGGGGTAGCTGGGTATGATATTCTCCACGATCATGTCTGCCCGTGTTGAGACTTGATATTGGTTCGCTTCCCCCGCCTTCCCCCTTGGTTCGCCTCCGCCTCGGTTGCCGGTCGCATCGGGCTCTTCGGTCTCGCCCGTGTCCATAGCCTGCTTTTACAAGCGCGGAGACATGATTTCGTCCACACATGGTACATGTTCCATGGACATGGTACAAGCCGTTTTCGGCTTACCACACGTGTACTGTCGTGTTCGGACGCCTCGCACGAGCCCGTCTCAGGCAGAAGGCCAGGAGATCGCCGGCGGTAGGCGCCATCTTGGGGTGACGTCTGGATGGACTTTTGCCCTCGTCTCGTCCGTTTCTTGGCCGCCTGCCCTCTTCTCGTCTCTTCCATGGGAGTGTCTCTCCTCGTCCTCCTCCTCCTCCTCGTCATTCTCATCCTAATCCTCCTCCTCCTCATCCTCATCCTCATCCTCATCCTCCTTATCCTCATCGTCCTCCTCCTTCTCCTCCTCCCCCTCTGTCCCCTCCCCCTCCTCCTCCTCCATCCTCCTCCCTCCTCCCGCCCTCCTCCTGACGGTGCTGCGGAGTTTGACGCTCTCTTCTGCTGGATCGATCCGATCCCTCCTCCCAGGGAGGGGCATGCGCAACCCGCCGGCGCAGGAGGAGCCGTTCCCGGCCAGAAGGCTCGCGCTCCTGGCCTTCGGCTGCCTGGCCCTGCTGGCCACCGGCCACGCCACCGGCGCCGTGGAGAAGCTGGACGCGGAGCACATTGGGAGCATG